CGTGTTTCTTTATTCTACCTGGGATTTCCAAAAACTAACTATGTAAAATTCTCGCCATTGTTCAGAACCCTTTCTGAGCTAAATGTGCTCTCTGAATATGATCCGTCTCTCTCATTTGGAACAGTTCGTTTTGTCCTACTTAATTATTTTAGGTAGTGTATAAGCTCTCTTGTTTTATAGTCAGTAAGGATTTTATTCCATTTGATTAAATAAATAAATAAATTTTCAACACCCTATTTCGAAATTTGGCTGGAAAACGCCCTATTTTAGAATTTGATTGAAAAATGCCCTATCTCAGAACTCGGTTCAAAAACACCGTATCTCAGCTGGCGATCCAAAAACGCCCTATCTCAGCACATTTTCGAAGTATTTTCATTTGAGATAGGACTTTTTTGAACCGAATAATAATAATAACATACTATATATATATTTAGTTTCAACATAAAAAAAATTATGTACACATTATTAATTGTCTATACATATCTAAGTCAATATATGTGATATATATGTACATACATCTACATATCGTCGTTTTAAGTACAAAACCGTGTATCAATAAAATGCAAAACCGCGTATCAAGATAATGCAAACCCACGTATGCGAGGTTGCATAAATTATTTTCTAGAGGGTAAAAACACTCATATTTCAAAATGGTTATCTTTTTTTAAAAAGCAATCGCATTTTTGGCTAGTATATTTCAGGAAGAATGGATAAGGATTGAGCCAAGAACTTGTGTGAGCAAATCCCATTTTTAGCAGCAATGTTTTGTACTTTGAACTACGATGTGTATTCACAGGAACGCAGTAATCTAATACACGGGTGAAGCAGGAACGCCGCACAGCAGAAGCATACAAACAATCTGCAAATAAATGGCTTTTTAGGTTTTTAACAAACAAAAACCTGGTTTCAACTTACTTCAACGTGTCTAAAGCACAACGCACACACTAATGCAAAGGCGCAACAGGGACGCAACACTATAAAACACGGGCGGAGAAATACACAGGCGGAGCAGGAACGCAGCACAGCAGAAGCGCCCACAAAATCTGCGAATAAATGGTTCATTAGGTTTTGAAATAACAAAGAGCTGGTTCCAACTTACTTCAAAATATCTGCAGGATGATGCACACAATCAAATTCGGCCGCAGCTGCAGTTCACCAGAGAATGCTGCAAATGGAATGGTTCATCAATGAAGTCAAAATAATATATTGTAACCTACGTGTATTAGCTCTTAATTACAATACCAGCACAGGTCGGCCAGGAAAACACTAAGGAAATGACCTAATAAATGCAAAATTATAATTTACTTGTAAAATAATTCGGTTTTATTACAATACTTACCAAATTTCACGATACAAATGCCAGCGAATAAGAACAAAACGCACAACGAAAATTGAATCAATGTAGCTTGTTTAGAATTTTTTCTAATATTTTGGGAAATGTTCAGTGAAATTAGCAAAGAAACAACACAGTTTCTCCTAAGGAAGTTCAAGATGGCGGATTAGAGCGAGAAGTTGCCAACGTATAACACCTTTCATTATTGCATCATGGAAGTGATCCATAAAAATTTTGAATTTATGTACTAAGAAAAAAATTTTTTTCAGCTTTTTCAAATTAAATAAGCCTCTGCAAGAGGGTTTGTTTAAAAAATACGTGCACATATAATGGTATATGGGGGGTATGGAAATATCCCTTTTCCTTAGCAGTAAACCTTTTAGTGTGGGCAACAATGATGTTTTTCAAATAAGGCAGATCGGAATATGCGCTCTCTGGGAAGACAATACCTGTAATTATTGTACCATGGTGTGCAGGCAATTTTCAAAATTTGTGAAGGGAGAATATATTCATTAGGTGAAACTACGGCAAAAAGAATTTGCTGATTGTATGAGGGATTGTATCTTCAGCATGAGAAACTCCAAATAAGAAGGCTACCATGAGAATGTTGTAAAAGTAAAGAAGTTCTCAAAGATGGAAGGGAAGTGAAACCTTTCGAAAGCTCGCTTTGCAATTGAGCTCATTCCGGATGCTACTCACTGCATTGTGCTTGTCCGAAATCCGGGTCTGAAAATAATCCGTTACCACTCGTGCTTCAAAAATAGTCGGATATTTTTATCATGTTTTCCCGCGTAGGAATGTTTGTAACAAATTTTGCGGATAAAAAATCCCGAGCACAAAATACAAATTTTTGGAAAAATATTCGACAAATGTTTGATGTTACAACTGAATATTTATGTGCTGCTTTCACAAAAGATCGAATCGAAAATTATATGCCAAATAGAGATGCAGCTTCAGGGCTAATAAATCTAGTAACATTGAAAAGTTTTTAAAATCCTCCAGCTTTTGCGGAAAAAAAGTAAAATAATTTTTTGTCCCGTAATCGGTTGCCATAAATATGGTCACCTTATATATGTAGCTATAAGTGGCATCGATACCTTTGCGAACGTTCACTGCTGTCGTTCTCGTTCATAAGTGAACGTAAATGCTGCGGTAAATATTCGCGGAAACTGGTGTGGCTAGAGATACTATGCAATCTATGCGAAGGCAATTTTTTTAAATTGCATAAGATTTGCACTGTTCATTCCACTTTCAAAAATTAGGTGTCAAATGAAAGGGCTTGGCTTCTGGATGTGCAGTAAGGATATATTTTTTAATGGGGTTGCCACCTGCGTTTAAAATTATGATATTTACACCGTTCTCCCGATTTTCAAAAATGAGGTGTCAAATGAAAGGGATTGGCCTCTAGATGTGCAGTAAGGATATATTTTTTTAATTAGGTTGCTACCTGTGTTTAAAATTATGATATCTACACCGTTCTCCCGATTTTCAAAAATGAGGTGTCAAATGAAAGGGCTTGGCCTCTAGATGTGCAGTAAAGCTGAAATTAGTCAAGAACGCAGAACGTATACTTAAACGCAGTCTGTATACGCAGAATTTTGTCGATTACAGGAGCCCTCAGTGTTGCTTACTACAGTGTTGCCACTCATCAATGCATTTTCATAAACTTACCTTTTCAACTACAATTTTTCGTACTATAATAGATCGTAGCTAAATACAAACTGCTTAGTTTTCAACAAAAAACCTTATTCAATAGTAAATTTCAAATATTTTAAATGTATTTTGAATAGGAATTTATAACTTTTTTACCATCTGCAAAACTGACGAAGTGGCAACCATCTATAGAAGGAAGAAATCAGCTGACACGGAAGAATCTAAATTCCGCAGATTTCTGCGCTACGGGCTACAACTACAGACAAATTCTGCAGTGTTGAGTTTTCATTTACATGGCGCTCTGGTAAGACAGATCGTGTCAGCTGACTCGGGTTTGCGTACCGGTAGGTTTACGTTCTTGACTAATTTCAGCTTTAGGATATATTTTTTAATAGGGTTGCCACCTGCGTTTGAAATTATAATATTTACACCGTTCTCCCGATTTTGAAAAATGAGGTGTCAAATGAGTGGCCTTGGCCTCTGGATGTGCAGTAAGGATATATTTTTTTTTTAATAGGGTTGCTACCTACGTTTAAAATTATGAGATTTACACCGTTCTCCCGATTTTCAAAAATGACCAAAATGATGATGCAACCATCTGCAAACAAAGTACATACATACACACATACACATGCATGCATAAGCAAACGCAATTTTAACATGCTTTGGTAAGAACAACTATCTGCGTAGCAATGCCCAAGCTAGTTGGCGAAAACGGCATTTACAAAAAATATAAACCCTCTTGCACACCCGTAGGCAAAACCTCTTTATTTGACCCCACGTTTTTTAAAACCGGGCAAACGTGTAATCATTATAACTTTTTGAGAGAAGGCAACCCTATTCAAAAATAAAAGCCTTGGTGTACTTCTAAAGGCCAGGCAATTTCATTTGATACTTTTTTCGATCTTGAGGCTTGAGTTTTGTTTCGTTAATTTAGCTCTGAAACGAAACGAAATTATTTTGATAAGTTTTTTTTGAGCATCAACAAAACGAAATCGATTCATATAGTTTGTTGAGCATCTCTGAAAATAACATCAAACTTGATACTGCCAGACAGTGGAAATTTTTAATAATAAAAGCGGATTTTTGATTCGCAGAGAACACCTTTCTGCGTAGGCGATCTTCGGCCGCACTTAGGAATTATAACCCTCACTAAGTAGAATTCTGCCTTCTGTGTTGCCGAAGAAGAGGGGCCGAACCCCTTTTGCGGAGAACACCTTTGTGCTTAGGCGGCGTATTGATTTTTTAAAGCACCACCACTTTTTATTAAAAACTTTCAATACATATTGAAGTATTAAATTTAAAGAAAAGCGCCGCAGGCGAAAATTTGTAAAAAAAAATCGAGCGTTTTGATATTACAAATTTTCAATATTTATTGAAATATTGAATTAAAAAATGAAAATGAAATGAAAAAATGAATTTGGGGAAAAAAACGTCTTACCACATTAAACTCATTTTTCTTTCAATCAAAGGATACTTTTTTCATACCAGTTTGTATTTAACAAAAGTAAAAAAATAAACAAACACATGCTATGTGATGACTCATGCTTACAAAGTAATACCGAAGTACTGCACATTAAAACTGGTATTCTCGAGAAAGCAAAATCTAACCGCAACTAACGGAAATGAATTTTAAAGGGGAAGAGTGATACTAAATGATGCCCTAAGTAGAAATGAGCAAAAAAATTTTTGTTTTCATAATAATAATGATAATAGATTGGCGCTTACACATATGTTAGAGTTTGGCTCTGATTTGTGGCGTGCGCTTTGATGTCACGCAAAGTGGAGGGACCTACAGTTTTACGCCGATTTCGAACGGCGATTGTATTTTTATGAGAAGCTGTTTTTCATGGCAGAAATACACCCCTAGGTTTGCCATTGCCTGCCGAGGGGCGCCCGCTGTTAAGAAAAATCCTTTTTCTAAATTTGTTTGCGATGTTGCTTTACCAGTGCTTGAACCCAGGCGCTGCGGAGTGAAAGCGCGCACTGCTTACCACTACACCACAGCGGCCGTAATAATGTAACAGCGCAAAAAAATCTACAAGAAACGATGTGGTGGTTAAAATATTCAAAATTTGCCGAACTGTGTAATAAATCCAATTTGTACATAATAATTATAATAAAACAAAATAAATTTAATAATTGAATAATTGTAATTATAATTAGAAAAGAAAAAAAATAAATACTTAACTTATTTACCTGCGTACTAGCATTTTCAACGCGAATACAATTTAACAAGAACGTGCATTTTATTTGTAAATTCAGTGCTGCCACAGCTTTAAATATTTCCAATTATTTCATGTTTAACTATCTATGAGATATTTGCGTTCAGAAAAAAAAAAAACACTAAAAAAGGTACTAGGCACTAAACCATTTTTTCGACGTTTTAATTTTCAAAAAGCACTAAATCTAGTGCTTAAAGCACCAAGTTGGCAACTATGCTCAACAGTGCTCTGCTACGTTCCCACGACAGTCAGGCCAAGGACTGTCACTCCAGCAACACTCCCCAAAAAGTCTTTGGGGAATTTGTATGCTGCTACAACAACAACAACAGTGCTCTGCTACATACTAAAACACGTTTCCACTTTTCCAGAGTACTTGAGTATGTTGATTGCATTCAGTAGTATTTGAAAACTTCATAGGAAATATAGGAATACTTATGAAGTTTTTTCTTTTAAAATGTTAGCATTTCACATGTTATGAAAAATAATAAAATTTCTTTTTGTCAAAATTTTCACTATATATTCACTATATTCACTATCTTACTTACAGTGCCGGACAAAAGGATTGACACAGAAAATTTTTCGCAAAATCTGCAAAGTTGTTTATTCTAATTTATTTTCGATATGTTTTATGAAAATATAGTTCGTCGTACACCAAAAAACATAGAAACTAAATCTCCAAACTCTGTGCAAAACTCAGGAAAATTAAATACTTTTGCATACTAATTTGCGTTTCTATTCAGATTTAAAAAAAAAAAATTCTAAGTATGCTGTTTTATAACCCATCTAATTTTAGTATAACAAAGTGCAAGCTTGAAGGTGCTAAAAAATCGCGTTGCTTTTTGGGATTTTTTTTCACTCAGGTTCTTCCATACAAAGTATGTTTGACAATTATTTTTTGTATGTAGGAAGTGAGCAACACCTTCCACTAAAAAAATTGCCAAAAATCAACGCTATTTTTTAGATACTTCGAGCTTGCACTTTGCACTAAAATTGAATGGGCTATAAAACTGCATACTTAGAACTTTTCTAAAAAATCTGAATAGAAAGTTGCAAATTAGTACGCAAATTTATTGAATTTTTCTGAGTTTTGAACAAAGTTTAGAGATTTTGTTTTTATGTTTTTTGGTGAAGTACGAACT